TGCTGTCGCGGACCAGTTCTTACCTTCTCCACATAGGTTGGCTGCCACGTGGACTTCTCGTGTGCAGCCGCCCTGTTGGTCTTGATGATCTCTCTCGCCTTGTTGATGATCTTTGCGAAAGTGTTGTACTGCTCGCGATCACCAAGTGCGAGGCTGAGAGCGGCGCATGACCTGTTGTAGAACTCACGCCGCAGATGCGGAAATGGCAAGTCCAAATCGGGCGTTGCCACGATCTTCTGCCAATCCGTGAGCCAGTCACGTGTCGGTGTGCTCCCTTGAGCCATCGTGAAGATGCGGTTGATGGCGAGTGTCGGGGCGTCGTCGACGATGAACCGCTTCTTCCATTCCTTTGTCATATCTTCCCAGGAGACCTTCTTGTACAGGTCTGAAACCTGGACGTCGTGGATGGTTGCCATGTGGCTGAGCCAGATCTGACATCCTCCCTTGGTGTTGATGAACAGAGCACTGATGAACACATGGTCAGGGACCTCGTGAATCCCCAACTCCGTTGTAAATCCTTGCCACCAGACGACCGGGTCTTGATGTGTGTAGTCATCAAATTTCTCGATCTGGAACGTCGGCATCTTGTATGGCCTCGCCGAGCTGTTGTTGTGGTTGTGCTCAGTCTGCTGTTGCTGACTGATCTTGGTGTCCTGCTACTCGAACCGCTGGCTGATGGTGGCCGGCTTTGTGAAGGCGCTTATGTCTCCTAGCCTTGCCACTACGTGGTCAACGCATTCCTCCAGTTGGCGGCTAGAGGATGCATTGTTGGAAGCCCCAGCATCTGCTCCTGGTACAGCCTGTTCCAGGTCCAGTACACGGGCGTCCAGTGTCCGTGTGGCATCCTCGTGCTGAGTCTTATGGTTCCGCACGGCCCGCTGGAGGTTCGCCAACTCGGACTATAGGTGGTTACAAGTATAAACCAACTTGGTCACGAGCTTGGCCATGAACTCCTTATGCTGTTCTTCCGGTGTTGCCTCGTCGCCGTTCGGTTCAAAGTGCCAGAACTTGAGTCTCTCGATGTTGTTGGCTTCATGCCGCTGCAGCAGATCCTGGGCTTCCTTGCGGCGAGCCTGGGCATCTGCGTCTGCTTCGGCCTATAGCCGCAGCTTCTCTGCTGCTGCCGCTTCGTCAGCCTGTAGCTGGGCAGCCTTGGCTGCCAGCTGGCATTGTTCCTCAGCCTCGATTAAAGCGAGCTGAGCCTGGAAGCGCTTTTTGTAGTCGGTAATGGGCTCATTGCCCAGTTGGCCTGGCAGGCCCGTCATGTTGCTGACGTGGCACTGCTAACGTGGCACTGTGTCTGACGTGGCACTGCTGACGTGGCACTGTAGCTGACGTGTCACTGTCTGACATGGCACTGCTGATGTGTCACTGTAGCTGACGTGTCCTGCTGACGTGTCACTATAGCTGACGTGTCACTGTCTGACGTGGCACTGCTGATGTGTCACTGTAGCTGACGTGTCACTGTCTGCTGACGTGTCACTGTCTGACGTGGCACTGCTGATGTGTCACTGTAGCTGATGTGTCACTGTCTGACGTGTCACTGTACCAACCCGGAAATGCAT